TTTGTATGAGATAAATGATGAAATTTCAGTCAAACTTACAGGTTTATGTTTGATTTTGAACGGTACAAATTCTCTTAGTTATTACACAATTCGAATATGATTTAAGAAAAGGTAATGAACTTGATTGAGATCTATTGTTCGAATTCAATAATAAATACAAAAAATAGAAAGTTGCATCAAAATAAATTTCCATTTCTTTCGAAATATGCCTGATCTATTCCATCGAATACTGCAACAACAACTAACATAGAAAAAGAATTTTCTACTGCTTATTCTACCTTAAATTAAACAAGAGCAAGTTTTCAATCAGAGAAGTTAGAAAAAATGTTATTAGTATGATCACTAGAAATACATTTATATAAGAAAAAACAAAACTAAATTATGCTTTTTTTTGATTGGTTTGTTTCTTACTCATGGTAGTTATCTTACTTTTTTGTCTCTCTTTTTCTTGAATATTTTTTCAAATTAAATTCTATAATTCAACTTTCGAATTTAAGTTATGTATATTATATAATTTACTTCTTTTGTTGATACTCATGCATTTTATTAGTCAAACTACACGTTAATATGATTGTAAAATGCCTTTAAATAAAACAATGTTTTATGACATAGTAAGGAAACGTTTAGGCTTTTGCATTTCACTCTTTTCAGAGCTGAATAAGCCCAGTATCTTTCAAGCCACAATTCAAGTCTGACTTGACTTTCCTAGTGCTGCCTCATTTAATCAATCAATTATTGAAAATACTTCATCTGACAGTTAGTGACTTTAAATTCAAGTTCTCGTCTTCTTTCATATGCTACTGTCGACATAAGATAAAATTTGAATTCTAAATTCTTAAGATAAGTTTAGTTTACATTACAAACAGTTTAACATCAAAGACTGATGATTTTAATGATATAACAAAATTATTACCTTTGGTTTTTATGTGCATTTTTAGGTGTACGTCAAGAAGGTGTGGGTGTGAGTGTTCAATTCGACCAAACGTATATTCACAACCGCAAGACAAAAAAACTGCGGGCTCTGTATCTTTCAATATAAAAGTCTCTGTCATGTTGTTTTCTCAATCATTGTTCTATTCTTCTGTTTATTTCATTGTCATAATCATGAATTCTACCAATATCATTATTCCATTTGATTTTCCATTTGCTTTTTTCAGCAAAATACTCACCAAATTCAATTTACTTTAGAAAATAAATTCTGCTATACAGAACATCGTGGCAATCCTGATCCGAATAATAAGCTGGTTTATGCTGTTTCTGATGGTCAATATACAGGGTGGCGCAAAAGTCACTTTACCCAAAAAAAATTGTATATCTCTATTACGGTTCGAGCAAACGAGCTGATCTTTTTATCAGTGATAGAGGCATGTACCAAGTTTATATCCATAAAGACATGCCTAGTGAAACCCTTTGTTAAGTATATTGTTTTTTCTCCTATCTGTCAAAAAGTAAAACTTCTTTTGTTGAGATCAATACTGATACTTAACAAAGAGTCTCTCTAGGCATGTCCTTATGGATATGAAGCTTGAACATGCCTCTATTATTGGTAAAAAAATCAACTTGTTTCCTAGAGCCGTAATAGAGATATTCAACTTTTATTTTTGTAAACTGACTTTGGGGCAACCCTGTATATGGCCCAAAAGTGACGATACCAAGAAAAAACTAAATATCTCCGCTATGGATCGAGCAAACGGACTGATTTTTTTATCAATAATAGAAGCACGTTCACACTTTAAATCCATACGGACAAGATTAGAGAAAGCGTTTATAAAGTACCACTAATGACCTCAACAAAATAATTTTACTTTCTTCACAGATAGAATAGAAAACAATATACTTAACAAAGGGTTTCTCTAAGCATGTCTTTACGGATATACAGCCTGAACCTGCCTCTATCGTTGATAAAAGAATCAGCTCGTTAACTCGAGCTGTAGCGGATATATTCAATTTTTTTCGGCAAAGTGACCTTTTTTCTAACTGTGAGAAAGTAAATTTTTCTTGTTGAGGTCAATAGTGATACTTAACAAAGGGTCTCCCTAGGAGTCAATGCACGAAAGCGACCACACATTTACTAGAACACCTGCTCAATCGATGTCTCAGATTTCAATGAAATTTTGCCAGTATGTAGCCCTAAGTGAGTTATAAAAACGCTAAAAATTTCAGCTTCTGAAACCTTTCCTTTGCTGAGATATTCAATCCACAATAGAGGCACCCTCAAGTAAAAAATGACTATAATTGATGCAGGCCATATACATTGTGTATTTCACCATTCATCAACAACAGTGTTTTTCGAGCTGAAATTTTGTAGGTATATACTACCATAAGTACCCTACATATTGGTACACTTAAAGCCATTATTGGTCGTATTAAACAATATAGCGAGATTTCATAGGTTATAGATACCCTCTCTACCTTGTGATCAGGCTTTCTATCGCTTATGAGCTACTTATGAGCTCGGGCTTTGGAATTAAGTACTAGTGACCTGTAGCTATTGGTAGCAATTTTCAAAACCTTGGCCTTTTGATTTTGACTCGAACAAGTATTTCATTCATTGTATATATCCTATTTTTATTGTCGGAAAATGAATTTTAACATAACGAAACTTTTCTTTTTCTCATTTGTTCTTGTATTGAACGAAGATAATTATGTATTACATATCATATTCTATTGATTGAGCAACCAATAAGTAAAGTAAATTGAGCTAAAGATAGAGAAATGAACGAATCGACTCCAAAGATTATATCATATTACAGACAATTGATAATTTTTTTCTATAATTTTTGCTATTTCTTTTGCTGCATTTTTTAAACTTATTTTTGATAAACACATTTTCAAGATTTTTCTGTTAAGGAATATATTATTAATATTTAAGAATGCCACGGCATTCGACGTAAAGTTGTCTGATTCTATAATAGAAATCATATGAGATACTAATAACATGTCTTCTTGCAATATAATAAGTTTTCATAATTTAAAACTTACTAATCGAAATAATGCATAATTGTTCGTTTCTACAAGTGTCACACAAGCAAATATATCAATTATTTTACTACGAAAACTGTCTTAATAGGAAAAGATTATAAACAATCAAAATCAGACTGAAACCATAAAAAATTT